GGATCCCATAGGTCGGATGCTGAAGGGTACTGCAGGTACACGTCGGATGGAGAAAGGACCAAGCGGAGACTTTTATGACGAATAGCAAGCATCACGGGTGAGTAACTACATGTACACGTCGGATGGAGAAGGGTCCCATAGGTACAGATCGCATGGAGAAAGGATCGAGCGAAGACTTTTATGATGAATTACAAGCATCATGGATGAGTAACTGCAGGTCCCACAGGTACACGTTGGATGGAGAAAGTACCGTGTGGAGATCTATGACGAAGCCGTTCATTACAGATCAAATATTGTTCATCACAGATGTGTAATTAGTTCAATGACGAAGCCCTGTTCATCACAGTTTTAAAGGAGATCATCACAGATGAGTCGCGCGAGTGATCTGTGAGGAAACCCTGCACTCTTCTATGACATTTTTTGTGACAATGCCTAATTTCATCATAGAAAGGGAGGGTTGCAGTTTTGTTACCACTGATCTATGACGAAACGAAAATATTCGTCATAAAAAATGATCTTCTATGACTATTTTGGGTGCGTCATTAAGATTTTCGTCATAGAAGTGGATATTTCTAGTAGTGTAAGTTAGGAAAACCTAAAACACAATAGAACATCATAATTAAGAGCATCTCCAAGAGTTTCTAGCTAATAATTTCTTCACAAAACCATGGTGTTTTCTAACTCGCCAAAAACTATTGGGAGGAATAAATAAAACCTATCTCTAAGAGTTTTCAATAATTCACTCCTCAAAACATATTCCAAAAGCATATTCTAATCATTCAATGGCATTTTCATAAATACAATCATATTCTTCCTGAGCATACAGCGCCACCATGAGCGCGCTAGCGAGCAGGATCCACAGCGTCAGGTCGGATGGAGATGGAGATAGGTCCTGTAGGTACACGTAACATGTAAGCCATCGGGTCCCATAGGTCAGATACAGAAGGACCGAGCGAAGACTTTTATGACTAATTGCAAGCGTCAAGTGATACGCAAGCCGTCTGGTCCCACAAATCAGATGGAGATGGAGAAAGGTCCCACAGGTACATGTGACACACAAGCCATTGGGTCACATAGGTCGGATGGAGATGGAAAACGGTCCCATAGATACATGTGACACATAAGTCGTTGGATCCCACAGGTCAGATGCTGAAGGGTACCGTAGGTACACGTCGGATGGAGAAAGGACCAAGTGGAGACTTTTATGACAAATAGCAAGCATCATGGGTGAGTAACTATAGGTCCCACAGGTACACGTCGGATGGAGAAGGGTCCCACAGGTACACGTCGCATAGAGAAAGGGTCAAGCAAAGACTTTTATGATGAATTGCGAGCGTCACAGATGAGTAACTACAGGTCCCATAGGTACATGTCGGATGGAGAAAGTACCATGTGGAGATCTATGACAAAGCCATTCATTATAGATCAAATATTGTTCATCACAGATGTGTAATTAGTTCAATGACGAAGCCCTGTTCGTCACAGTTTTAAAGAAGATCGTCACAGATGAGTCGCACGAGTGATCTGTGACGAAACCCTGCACTCTTCTATGACATTTTTTGTGATGATGCCTAATTTCATCATAGAAAGGGAGGGTTGCAGTTTCGTTACCACTAATCTATGACAAAACGAAAATATTCGTCATAAAAATGATCTTCTATGACTATTTTGGGTTCGTCATTAAGATTTTCGTCATAGAAGTGGATATTTCTAGTAGTGTAAGTTAGGAAAACCTAAAACACTATAGAACATCTTAATTAAGAGCAACTCCAAGAGTTTCTAGCTAATAATTTCTTCGCAAAACCATGGTGTTTTCTAACTCGCCAAAAACTATTGGGAGGAATAAATAAAACCTATCTCCAAGAGTTTCCAATAATTCACTCCTCAAAACATATTCCAAAAGCATATTCCAATCATTTAATGGCATTTTCGTAAATACAATCATATTCTTCTTGAGCATACTGGCGCCACCATGAAGCGCTTGCGGCCGAAAGCAGAGATCCATAATGCCCGTAGCTATTGAAAGGAAGCATACTGGCCCCACCGCTTGTGTGCAGGGACGCCACTCCATGGGAGATGAGTGGGTCACTCCACAATGGGAGCACACGGAGGAGTCATCCTCAAGGCCGAGAAGGCAGTTGATGGAGGCTGAATCGGTGGAGATTCCCCTTGGGATGCCATCGAGGGAGTCGAAGATGGGGCCGTTGTGGGCGTTGACAAACCAGTTCTCGAAATTTGAAGGGTCATTGAGCACGGACCCGAGCGAGGATACGTGGACATTGAGTACGCGGATAAATCCGCTCGGTTGGGGGATTTTTGCCAAGTGCCAAAAGATTGGGAGGTGTTGGGTGTTGGAGAGATGTTTTTTCAATCTTGCCAAAAACCAAGGATTAAGAGATGTTTTGGGAACTCTTAGAGATGCTCTAACTAGGCTTTGCTCCATGAGTCTTTGTAATTAAGCTGGTTATACTTCTAGGTACGTGGTGTGGTAATTAATTTTCCAAGATTTGTACTAATTTACATGTTCTCCGTTACACTGGCTCGGGCTCCTTCAGATGAGCCCTGCCATATGTTTTCATGAAGAAGCCATTTTTCAGTAAAAAAACAGAGGAGCCGGAGCCATTTTACAGGAGCCAGAAGCCCATCAGGAGGAGTCATGCCAAACACCCCTTAATTTCACTACTACAAAAAAGATTTGTAGCAACGGCTCATTTTTTAGGGGTGGCTGGGGATAGAGGCGCCAGTATAGTGGACGTGCTCGGGACCCACGAGACCAGCCGCCCCTAGAAATGGCACAGTAGGGGCGGCTGGTGATACGAGCCGCCCCTACGAATGGATCGAATTGTAGGGGCGACTCACTCACCAGCCGCCCTCGGTGTTGCGATTTGTAGGGGCGGCTCAATCACCAGCCGCCCCTACAAATATATTTGGCCCACTGATCTCGTCCATCCATCTTGATCCAACGGGGAGGCTCCCCTTTGCACCGAACCTCGTGCCCGGTTTGCGAAACCCATCGTCGCCGCCCCAGTTTCCACGCGACTGCAACTGCGGTTTCAGCTAAACCGCTGGGCCCTACCTGTCCTCGCTTGTCCCCTGCCGCCTTGCCTCTAAGACCGAGCACGCGCGCGCGAATTGTAAATTCGTCGGCCCCGCCGCTTCGCACCTGCACCCAACCTACATAGTGAGACCGACGAAAGGGCCCCACTGCCAGATGGCGCTCAGGCACTGGCCAGTCAACCTTCAGGAGGTCCCCCACAGCCGCTTGACCCAGCGCCGTCCCAATTTTCCCGCGCGCGACAGCGCATTTGGGGAGGATTGGCGCTGGTTGCTGACCGAACCTATTGCACCGGCCCCACCGCATCTCGTTTCGCGTGCATGGTTTGGAAAACAACCGGTGCCATGCCCCTGGTTTGGTGAATCCGTCGTCGCATGGCGTGCGGCCAGTGACCATCTCCCTTACCGCCACAAGCACCCACCCCTTCCTTTTCCCAACTTTGTCCCAGCCTCTGGAGAGAAAAGCTCGAGAGCCACACACCTCAATTCTCTCCTCCTCCCATTCACGCGACAGCGCGAGCTCTGGATCGGGCGAGCTCCAGCCCTGGCGTCGCTGTGCACTGTGCACGAGGTCTCTGATTTTGATTTTCGTGATTTTGTGTTTGCAGTTTTGTGTTCGTCGTTGTTCTCCCGTTCTTGCCCCAAATCGTGCGGCCTCGGAGTTTGAATCAATTTCAAGCAACGATTTCTTGGGGATAGATTCGTTGCAAGTTGAATTGCATCTCTGCAAAATTTGGGAGCATTTCCTTTTGATTTGGTCGGTTTTCCTTCGAATTTCGTGGTCACTTTCTCTTCTATACGTAGCTCTGTTCTTCGTTGATTGAGGTGTAGGCACATGGGATTCTTCCAGGAGCGTTACCAGAGCCGGTGCACAAGTGCCGTGCTTGCTTCCTAGAAGCAGCGTTCGTCCCTCTCCTTGCTTCCCGTCAGCGCTCGTGCTCAGTTCTTCTCTGTCCGCTCGTTCTTCCTTTTTCCCTCTGTTCGTTTGGCGCCAGGCTTAGTCAGAGCACTCGATGAGATCAGGTGGCAACGACTCATCTCCACTGTCGTTTTGAATCTTAATATCATTTGTCTAGATTTGGTGCGTTTTATAAGATCTAGAACATCTTTGCTTGGAGTATATTATGTTGTTTATAAAAGCGTGTTCTACAGTTTGCTTGCTCATTCTCTTTGTGCCGAGAGCAGGAGCTGATCTTGTGTCTCAGATTTGCAGGTCAGGCAGCAACTAGCCCAGCAGTAGCAGTTCGCCCTGCAGGAGGAGTTCAACATTGTTAGTCAACAAGATTAGCCGTGCTCTCTACAACATTAACCACAGCTCGGCTCTGCCTTGTTCTTTTGTTTCTTGCAATAAATGCATTTCGTTTCCTTACAGCTAGCTGTAGCCGCAGTATCTATTTGTGCTTGTGGTCAAATTTGAATTATATATATATATATATATATATATATATATATATATATATATATATATATTCGGGTCGAATTTGAATTGTAAATTTGATTTTTTTTTTGAAAAAATGTACTTTAGGGGCGGTTCTAGACTGAACCGCACCTACAAACAAGTATTATAGGGGCGGCTGGTACTATATTCGCCCCTACAAATTGATTTGTAGGGCGGGCTGATAACACCAGCCGCCTCTACAAATCGATTTGTAAGGGTGGACTAGAAACCGCCCTTACAAATGCATGATTTATAAAGATGATTTAGTAGGGACGGCTGAGCAAACCGTTACTACAAATGGTCTTAAGCCGCCCCTTAAAAATGCTTCTGTGGCGTAGTGTTTGTTGCATCACTGGAATTTGGAAACGGATCGGACTCCGTATTCTACTCGAACTCAAGTGACCTGGCCGGGCTGTGTTCATATATCTCGTCTCGGAAAATATATAATTCCATCTCTGCCCGGAGCACGCAGATGGTTCGTGCTGGTGAGGAACACAAACGCACGATAATGGAAGCCAAACGAACAAAGCATGACTGTGGCGTGTCGCTGCCGGAGGACATCGTCTTCGACGTGCTAACCAGGTTGCTGGCGAAGACCCTGTGCCGATTCCGGTGCGTGTGCAAGGGTTGGCGCGCCCTCATCTCCGATCCTGCCTTCGTCGCCGCGCAGAGATCCCGCGCCGCCGATCCGCACCTCGTCGGCGTGTTCTCAGGATCCCGCCATCTGGCGGAGGTGCGGGTGATAGACATGGACAGCAACGTCGTCAAGGCGTTCAAGATCACGGGGAGCACACCGCAGCTGCCCACGCGGCCGGACCTCATCTGCGCTGACGGAAGGGGATTACCGTACCACGGTGGCATGATCATCGATCTGGCGCCCGGGCGAGCGTTCGCCGCCTTTGGCACGACAGATCCAACTCCATGGGCCATGACCTACACCTACTCCACCATCCTTGGCCGTGCCACTCCGTCTGGCGTCTTCAAGGTCCTCCGCCTGCAGGTATCTTTCCAGAGGGACGACGACGATGGCGGCAGCCACTAGCTCTGCGAGGTTGCCACTATCATGGACGCCGACGGCGGCACAGAGCCACTGACATGGAGGCGAAAGTCGGCGCCGCCTTTTGTTATTACCGGTTGGAGCTGTGAACACAAGGCCATTGTCAATGGGGTCATCTACTTCATTCACGAGCTCGAGATTGACGGTGACGTCGATGAAGATGATGATGCGGCTCCGAGCTTGAACCTCATAGTTGCTTTCAACCTCGAGAGCGAAGAGTGGAAGGCGGAGGCGATCAATGGCTCTGCATTGGGCATCAGAAGTATGGGGAGATATGGTTCATTACTCTAGTCGAGTTCAATGGAACCTTAGCTTTCGTTCACGATGTACGCGTGAACCACTACACGTATTCGAGCATATGACTCTTAATTGGTCCTACCAAGAGTGTTTGGGTCAAGGAGTATATGATACCAATATCCAAGAATCAGATAGAAACTACTAAGCCATTGGGTGTCTTGGCGGATGGCAGAATTTTATTGTGGTCGAGCGTGTTTGACAACGAAGAAACAAGGCTATATAACTTTAGCTTTCGTCATCATCGAGAAGTTGTTCTGTTCTACGACCCTAGCACAAAGGCGTTTACAGACTTCGTGGAGATGGCAGAGGGGTTCGATCAGATATACATTGGTCTTTTACACTGGGAGCCTCCTATCTTCAACACAAATAACTGTCGGAAGAAATCGAAGTCTATATATTTATCCTGTTGATGCTAATGTCTAAGTTCGGTTAAAAGTACTCTGATGTTCTATAAGTTTCATCACAGTGACAGGTTTTTCATTTAGAAATGTAACTCAGATCGAATTGCCTTCACATGGAAAATCGTTCTTGACTTCAATATTTTTAAAATACTGTCGCTGCATTTCGTGTGCTCATGTTTTGTTTTCACTTGGAGGAAAAAATAATAGAAATTACATGGTGCTGGTCGCATGGAAAAACATTTAAAAATTTGAGTTGGTTTGATTTCAAAATTGGAGGAAAAACTTGAGTTGATATGATTTCAAAAATCGATTTGAGGTGTATAAATAAACATCATAGCTTGACTTGACTTACAAGAAACTATGTTTTAGATGTATCTATTTTGTGAACGATGTATTGGACCCCATTGTTAATTTCATTTGAAAATTTTACGCCAAGCATACACACCTAAAGTATGCTTTAGTGCAAATTTTTAGATTTTCCTGACCAGTTTTAGCTATTATTAGCATTAGTTTTTCATAATTTACAGGTAGAAGGATAACAAATTATAGCTAAAAAGAGTTGAATTTTTCATGTATCTCTATAGCAGTCATTTGAATAGACCATACGAGCCCAAATATACTTTAAATTTATGTAATTTTTTAGTCTTCATGGATACATGTAGTTCAATCTAGAGATTTAGAATTTCTTACGATAGGCGAACATAAAACATTTAAACTATAGATATAGAAAATAGTAAATTCTAAAATTCCGGAAACTCCCGAACAACCGTCACGCCCCGACTGTTGGCCCTCAGCATGCCGTACGCCACGCCCGCCGGCACCCCAGCTCACCGTGCCCCATTCCCCGACGCCCGTGCCGTGCCACCATCACTCTCCACACCCCCTAACTCTCCGAACAATATAAAACATGTGCAACATGAAACACATGAATATGATATACGTCTGAAATAGATTAAACATCTGAAACATACACCGCAACATATGTATAAAACATATACAACATCCAGATAAAACACTTGCAACTTGAAATATGAAAACACTTGCTGTAACATAAGACTGAAACACATGAAACATACTGTTGCAACATATGTCTGAAGAGATGAAATATTTTGAATAAATGCTTGCAACATGCATGTGAAACACTTGCAACATATGCAACATCAACATCCCTAATCTACTTTTGCAACATCCAAATGAAACAATTGCAACATACCTTTAAAACGTCTGAAATACTTAAACATACATTTGCAATATAGGGGAGGTAACGGCACGCGAGCAACACTAGCATCCGACCACGCTTGTGGGTGTCCTTGGCTCGGCCAGGTATGATCCGAGGTGCCCCGCCACGTGCGCCCAGCGGCCATCGATAGGGGCGGCTGCGGCGGGGCATCCCAACAACATTGGGGGTTAAGGAAGAGGCCGGGGAGGCGCTCTGCTGTCAGCGGACGCAAGATAGAGAGCGAGAGATGAGGAGAGCAGAGGCAGCGCGCATAGGATGGTGGCGCGGCGAGGGATGGTCGTGGCCATCGGGCCACACGATGCACGGGTCGAACCCACGCGGGCCGGGTGCGCAACGGGCGGGGCAAGCGACGGGAGGGAGCAAGTGTCGTGGGCGAGGCGCGCGTCGTAGGCAGGAGCGAGCAGAGCTGACAGAAGCGGCTAGATGGAGTGAGGCGCGCGGCGTCCAGATGGGGCGGACGCCCGTGGCCAAGCATTATCGTTAAATCTATTAGTAGGTTCATGGGGTAGCCCACCTACATCCCTATCTTCATAAACCTATATATACCATATCAGACATATTGTTGTACCTTTCACATAGTCACCACAGACTTGTTTTTAGCCTAATCTTTTTTTTTCTTGAAAACGTAGACTTGCGTTTTTCATTACGAGGGGGTTTTTTTAGCCTATTGTAGTCATTCAAATTCTGGAAAGGGAAATTAACCACCACTTAAGATGTATATATGGGCTCTTGTACGTCCTCAACACCTTGCCAAAGATTAATGTTAATTGTAGTTGAATTCGGACTCATTCACAATAAGCACATGGCCACACATATTCTCCCTAGCCCATAGGTCACATGGTAAATCTCGAGCCTCAATCGATCTTTACTCAAAAAGATTTATATTCAAAAGGGGGTACGGTCTTTATTCAAACCCTTGATGATTCCATTTCCAAAGAAAAGAAAGACTTAGTCAAGTCTCTCTTAGGTCATGCAGGATTATTAGGCTGCAGATATATATATTTAATATATTACTCCATATTCGTTTCCTTTTATTTATTCCTACTACGAGGCTGCCACATTTTCACATCTCACATGAACGACGACGGCGGCGCCTGTGGGCTGTGGACTATGGCGAGCCGTTGCCGGAGCAACCTTCAGGCGGGCAGCGCGGCGGGCAGCGGCGGCAGATCGGCCGCGGGAACGGAGGAGCTGCAGAAAGCAAAAGCCAGCGATCGATTTGAATTCATCAGTTCACTAATAACCACGGAACAGAGGCGTTACGAAAACTGGGGCAACAAGCAGCTGGACTCACGAGGAGGAGGAGCCGGCGGGCTGTCCGGCGACGGCGTCGTCGTCGACTGCAGGAGGGCGCGCATGCCCGGCAGCGCACCGGCCGCCGGAACGTCCCGGCAGAGGCAGACGCTCGTGGCTGCTAGCAGGAGCACCACGGCGAGCCACGCAAGTGCCTGGAGGCGGGGGCGCCGCGGCAGCACTGCCATCGATCACGTAACGTATAGGCACGCACCAACACTCTGCCTGATGAGCAGCTTGCTGCGGTGGCCAAAAAATGTCAAGTAGTAGTGCTTTGGGTTTCCCTTGGGCCGTGCCTGCGTGGCGTTATTTATAGGACGTGTGCTCCTTTCTACTAGGCTCACCCTCTTCGAGTCATGGACACTGCCGCCGCCGATCCGCCTTCGTGTGTGTACGTGCCGCTTGTAGTGGTCATCGTTGGTGGCTTGAACTGGAGCCAATTTTCCATGTGCGGCATGTTTGCTGGTCAACAATATGGACGTCTCGACGAGAAGAAATGCAGCCCTTTGATAACTCTCTATAGATACTCCCTCTGTCCTAAAAAACAGAGTCATTCTTGCTTTCTAAAAAGTTAACAACTTTTAACTTTGATCAAATATATTTATCTAAATATTAATATTTATGGTACATAATTAGTATCATTAGGTAGATCGTTGAATATATTTTTATAATAAAATTATGTAGAGATATAAATATTGCACGTATTTTCTATAAATCTAGTTAAAGTTAACGAAATTTAACCCAATACGATCCCATAGCAACTCTTTTTTCGAGGGACCGAGGGAGTAAGTTTAAAGGCATCGTTTGCATGTGTACTGTAGCGAATTGATTGGACACGTACGCGTGATTGATGTGAGCAGTGAGCCCGGCTCTCACCGGATATATGAATCTCGCAAGATTAAGTGGTTGCGAGGATATATTGGAAGCAAAAGTTATGTGCGAGTGCGACGACCGACGACTAATGACATTGACATCCCATGGATCCTCTCGTACGTTTTGGCGTGTTGAGAAGATAAACTTTTCGTAAGTGTTGAACGTTATGGGGCCCGTCAACTTTTCTTCTTTTGCATCGTCGGCCATTGCAGAGGCAAATAATGTAATGGCTGGCACAGAGCAGATATATGAGACGCCTCTTGTGTTACAGCTATATTGCTAGGATTTCAACAGGTTGAAAAGAAGAAAAAAACAGAAAATGCGGGATGTTGTCCTTCGTAGCATCTGGTTTTAAGAACAAAACAAGATATGCACTATATATAAACTCAGGAAGTCAAATATTACATATAACTACAAATAAGGATAATATCATATGACAATGCTTATTACATATCGTATTAGTATAAAGAATAAAACCTCAGAGTATAGATAGCGGAAAGACAACTCCGATCTTCAGGTGAAGACTCCACTTCCACAGGAACAACTGACTGGTTGATCACAAGCATAATTCCTCTAAATTCTAGTAATCTGGTACCCATCTGGAATTTTATCCAAATATGTGAAAAATAAAGCAAGCGTAAGTACATGTCGTACTCAACAAATATAACATGGGATCCATGAGGCTCAAAAGGCTGACACTGGTTAACTGCGATTAGCTTTTAATGAGTCATCTTTTAGCAATTGGGTGGCAACAAGTTTATTCACAAGTCCATATAAACACATGATCAGGTAAACATGAATAATGAATAGCATAAACAGTAATCATTAGTGAGCATCTTCATCATCAGTATCATCAGTGTTTATCATCTATTCCGTAAATGTTCCAAGACCGGTCGTGACCATGAGCACGGCTGTTATAACAGTTTTACACTCTACAGAGGTTGTACACTTTCATTGTGAGTCGTGATTTACCCTTTTGCCCGAGGTCACGAGCCTCTTAACCCATTACCAAGGAAGGTCGGCAGGGTTCACTATAAAACCTTTCAAAGGTTCGTCTAACAAGTTAGAGCCATTAGATTCACTCGGCAAACAGATGTAGAGCCCCCTTCCCGATGGCATAATGACGCGCAGCCTATACTCAAGGAAACAGAGGCCGTACTATACTCGATTCGTCAAGCCATTCTTATGCCAATAAAGGTAACCTCTAACAAGCTAGAAAAGATTCACGTACTAAGCTAAAGACAGAGCCATATAGCCCTCACAGTTGTACTGTAAGTCCCGGATGATCACTTATAGATAAGTCCTTAAAAAGAGAAATCTAGAGCACAATAAAACAACCCAATGCTCTAGCCCCCTTGTTCCATGTTGCTAAAAAGCAATCTTTTAATATTTATTGCATATTCCATTAGTCTAGTTACAAGATCATGGTTGTAGTTGGGCACTAGCATCATACTACCCAATGCAATAACCCATAGGAATCAAGGTATGAGGTAACAAAGTACTAGAAAATCCTTAGTGGCAGTCAAAGTAGACACATGCAGTATGAATTAGATGATTAAAGGTGTATAGGACAACAAGGAAGATCACATGCTATACTTGCCTTAAAACTTAAATCCTTCTTCTATTGATTCGTAGTCTCCAAAGAATTGCTTCTTGATCACCACGTTAAACTCACCGACTGGACAAGATCATTAAGCACCACACAAGCATCCGAACAAACATGCATAGCATTCAAACATAACTATATTAGAACAATACACCAAACATAAAATCAAGATGAAAAGTTTGTAAAACGAATCTATGTCTCGCTACGAACACACAGACACAAAAAGCACTCTAATCGGAGCTATGGTGAAAAAGATACAACTACCGATAAATTTATTTTAAAAAAACTATAGACTTCATTTATTTTAATTATAAAACATATATAAGATACTCTAGAAAAATATCTAAATTGAATTAAGTCAAATTATATTTGTATTAGAAAACCAAAATAAGATTAAACTTATTTTATTTATAAAAGACAGAGGTAAAAATCCTAAGTTGCTTTTAATTGAAAAGGTAGCTTCATAAAGATTAATCATATTACTATTTTATTCAAAATATTTAAACCTGTTGAATAATACCACTAATACGTAGATTACATTGTTATGAATCTAACGCAACTTGAACGGGTCAAATCGGAGTTAAAACGGAGAAGATATGGCTTACTGAAGATAGTGGCAATTTTGTAATTAACTGGATCTTGATTTTCGAATTAAAATAAATAAAAACAGATTTTTAAATCAGGATCAGGGACCGCGGGTTCTAAATCGGCAAAACACAGGGGCTCTTTAGAAAACTATAGGGACGGCGGGTTCTATTTTGAAAAGACAGAGGGGCTCTTAAGCAAGAATGACAGCCGAAGGTGTATGTTCTAATTTGGGCCATAGATCTCAGATCGGATGGCTCAAAATAATTGGGAGGGATGGGGTCGCCGGCACAGTACCTGGACGGCGGCGCCATGGCCGGAACTTCATAATGTTCACCAAAACAGTGATTCCGGGCTTGATTGCTTCAACTAGTAGCATGGGGAGATAGATATAGAGCTTGCGAACTCGATGGGGGTATTGGTTGAAACAGCGGCGAAGGGACGGTGACAGCGGCACGCACGTTTTTGCGGAGGAAGAAGGGACTGACAAGGCGGGGCTGGGCTATCGGCGTGAGAGGGAGCAAGGAGAACGGCGCACTGCTGCTGAGTCGGACCAAAACGCTGACTAGGCTCGCAAGTGGAGTGGGCCGGAGTGCGGAGGAGTGGGCCGATGCCAAAGAGAAGAGAGAGCGCCCGGTTGGGCTGCGGCCTGAGCCAACAGGCCGAATGAGAGAGAGGAAGGGAAGAGAAAGGACCGGGCCGAGAGAGGAAAAAAGAGAGACGGGCTTGGGCCGGGATCCAGCCCACGCGGGTGAGAGAGAGGGTTTTCTCTTTTCTTTTTCCAAATTGTTTTTCCTAATACTTTTTTCAAATAGGTCTCAAATTCATTTTGAATTTTGGATTCAACCACTTATTGCTATAAATCAAATGAACCAGCATGTATGCACAAACATGTTGCTACCTTATGATGAATTTTAATTTAATGAAATTTTTTTATTTCCCTATGTTTTTATGAGCACAAAAATACCAAATTAAATCATCTTAACCCTATTTCAAAAAGAGCAATTTTTAGGGTGTTACATACTTATGATATTACTAGGATCTTTACAAAAAACACCATTTATCACAGTATTTAAAAAAGCCACCTCATTTACCAAGATGGTTTAGGAATTATGAGATTAATTAATCAACAAAATATATATCAGTGGTTCGGTTTTATGATGATCTAACAGTTTAAGCGAAATATACCAGTCGTGTGCAATTTTGTCTACCACCATTATGAATGACTTCGCTAAGGCTAGGGCATCGCCTCCCACAGAGCTGACGGTGGTCTCATAGCTGTTGATGAACCTATGAGGGTTGGACTTCCATCAAATTTTGGGATCTTCGGCTTGTAATTTGCTAGCCAAGGATGTTCATGTAGCTACTAAGACAGAGGTGAGGTTTTTAATCTTTGATGCTCTCTTGGATTTTTTTATGCTCAAGCATTTGGGTTTGAAGGGATAAAGCCTTTGAAATCACTGTTGTTTGTGTCTGTGTTCTTTGCCTTATCCAGATCAGAGACTTCTCTATTCTGCAATTTTTTTGCTTCTCGAATTGAGTTTTTCAGCTCTTCACCTCTTTGCTTGGTTGTGAGTCTGCGACTTCTTGCTATAAACCGAGTCTAGCCTCTAGATTTCTTACTTGTATGCTTATAGTTTTGCTAGAGTTTAGTTTTCGTTGATGGTTTTTGCATCATCACTTTCTAGGTCTTGATTGCATCTTCGGTTGCGTTGTCATTGGGGTTGGGGTACCCTTTGGGTCAGTTCCCCATCGGGTGGGTTTCATGTCTACATTTGTGTCATTTGGGCCTTAAGGAATGGGTGGGATGGGTTAGGTATTTTGAACCCCTAGGTTATCCATCATCACCTTTGGGGACCATTGGAAAGTTCGAGTAACAATCAACCATGGGTTGGTGCCCAATGTTGCCCTCAACCGAAGTCTTGGACAATTGCTAACTGAACTTGAAGAGCGAAGTGAGGGACAAAGGTGAAATAACGAGGTGGTTTACTGTAAACAGTGATGTTCTGCCTTTATTTATGAGGCTACTATTTATACTTTTATAGCCCAGTTTACAACTTAGTGGACAGAAATGCCCCTCAACCTAACCAAAATCCTAAGTATATTCCTAGCCAAGCAGGGGCA